GGTGTCCAAATGAAAGTCTCAAGGAAAATGAAAGCACCATGTGTGCGCACAGTTTGATAGATACATAGCATTTCCTTGCCTTTGCCAGATGGCTTAACTGCAAGGAAGCAGCGCGTTTTATACCTATTACCTATTTCTCCCAGAATGTCTGCAGCAATTTCAAGGAGACCCATTGTGTGCTTTGAGAAAGCTAAGACGAGTTGCTTTAATCCAAAAGTCCCAGGTGGACTCTAGGAGGAGTATCTCCTCCAAAGACTGAAGTACAAAAGGCCTTTGGCTGTATTCCCAAAGGCACTTCATTCTGATTTTCACACGATATGGACACTTAGAGGTAGCACATCAAAGGACGTGCAGGCTGTAATGTAGCAAACCTCAAAGGCTCATCTCCATACTGGGGTTAACTGAGAAATCACCCATCCTGAGCGCTTGGGTTTGGGTAATGCTGGGCAGGGAGCAGAGACAGCTCCAGGAAGGGGACATTTTTTTGCCTTCTACCAGGAGGGCTCTCAGCATAAGATATTTAAGGGCCTTCTGTGTTCTGCACACTCACTGAATACTCTGTAGTGGGGCTTTGCATGAGAAAGAGTTGGTGCCTCTGAAAGGGAGCTGCACTCCTGCAACACAAGGAGAGATTCCTTAATCTGTAAATGGGAGATGTTTAGGATGTAGCCCTTGTTCTACAGGTTTGTCTTAGCATCTCTACTGAGAATGCAACAGCTCTGTCACCTCCAAGCAGAGATATCAGGCACTGATGGAGCAGTAGGCTTTTAAGTGTGGGTGTACTAAGTGGCTGTGTTTTTCAGAGGCATCAGGCTTAGATAGCAGAGAAATTGAAAGCTTTGAAAAATTACAGCTTGAAGGGCTGATTAGGAGGAGGAAGAGTTTCAACTAAGCCTTCTTAAAGTCGTACAGTATTGTAGGGCATAGCTCAAGTTTTTTATGTCTCTGGTGCTGAATATTTCCCTTGTTCTACTGATCAGACTGATTGTTTTCATTATTTTTACTGCTTTTATTGCCAAAATATATTTATGAAGCTTGACCTTTAATGCTAGCAGTCAGTTGGCTTTCAGTGGAAATTCAACTTCTAGTTATGCAGCCATTTAAAAAGTTGCTTCCTTTTTATACTAGAAGAGTTGTCCATGAGTGCTGTTCCATTAAAGGTAGTAGTGCCCCAAGAAAAATCCTTCAGCAGCAAGTGCTATGAACCAAATTAGAACACAGTGGTAGAAATGTTTGGCCCTCTTTAATTGCAGTTCTCCATGACTGATAAACCTGAAAGGACTGTGTAGGTAAGATTTCACTCTTATCCTTTTTTTTTTTTTCTTTTCTTCCCTCCATAACAGCAATCCATCAGTAGTGCAATTCTGTTTGTAAGCTGTCTGCATACTTTTTCACCCCAAAATCTGCATAGCACTTGGTCACCAGGAACAGAGGAGTGAACACCATCTGAGATTTCCAGTTTGAATAACTCAGGACTCCACTTTCATTCACTGGTCATCCCTAAATGACCAGCCTGCACGAGGTGTGAAAGAATTCTCTTGTGTCCTGACTGGAGATCACAACATTAACTGCAAAGATCCAGAGTTACCGGAAATCTGTACCTCTTAATTCTTCCAGGAATCGTGGAACTGGCTCTGTTTAATGGAAGATCATGTGTGTGGAAGGGGAAATTCCTTTCAGATCTGCACAGACATCAGGTCAAAAGTTTATACTGGCCAAAAATGTTAGTGTAGTTGACTAGATGAGGCTGAAAAATGGTGGCCAAGAAAATGCATATGCTGGAATAAACAATAAGGTTGTTGTGGCCACATTTCATACAAGTATATGCCAGGACTGATTCCTCGGTGGCCTACAGTTATTACCGCTTTACGCTTGTATAAACAACGTAGAAAAGAAGTTTAGCATTTGTGCCATCTTCAGAGCAAAAACTCCAGTGCCAGCCTGAACCACTTTTTTCAGGTCTGTTCTCTTTCTCATACCTTGATCTGGAGTGTGGCTACCTTAAAGCACAGCACTGTCAGAAAATCTATCAACAGGCTCGTCCCTGTAGCCTTAAGTGTTTTGCAAGCAGTTCATTTCTATAATTGTATTTCTTTGTTCCTATTTTGAATAATTCGGAAGGCTATCCATTCTCCTTGCTCAGTGTATCAGGCCACTTGCAAGTCATGAGGCTGCAAAAAGGTGAGCGAGAGTTCTTTTTTTGAGCTCTACCCTCCCCACAATTTTTTTTATTTTTATTTTTAACAAGGCTTATTATTTGATGAGTTGGAAGCTGAGACACCAAAACAGTAAAGGACTTGGCCAAGGTCAGGCAGGAAATCTGGGATGGAGAAGCAAACATATTATTGCTTCTGATTTCCGAGCCAGCACTCAAACCACTGGACATCCTTCTTAATTTCCAGTCTCTTCTGGCATTGCTACCAATGTTCTGGGCCAATTCCTCAACCGCATTGTACCTCTTTTTCCCTGCTTTTATAAAGCCAACCTTGCAAGGTAACACACCAAAGCAATCTATAAGAACATAGTAATTTCCTCAGTCAGTTTTACATCTCTTTCAGTTCACAACTTGTCCACCAACAAATTTATTCCTTGCTTGAAGCATTGTACTGAATCATTCCTATTCAAAACTATCTGTTAGCACTATGCAGAGCCTGAGATTGAACGTCTTTGATCCACCCATTTCAAGATTAGATGGATGACAGAATCTTAACTCTAGATCCAAAAACGTCCATGTTTTGGAAGTATATTCAATGCCTGTGCCTGGATTTGGCTCTAAACATGGTTACTTTGATCTGGCTGGGTATCTGAATCTTGTGTCCTGTCCCATCTCTTTTTTTGGCACCAAATCTTGTATTCCTATCTCTGTGAGACCTCTTAGCCTTGGTTAGTACCTTGGTGTGCGTGTTGTGGGAAAGGATACCCACTGATCTCCTCAGACTTCATGGAGATTTCTTTAATGACTGCCTGTTTGTTACACACCTGACGGCCTACAGGATTTAGCATTTTGACAGAAGTTTGTAAGAAATACAAGCTTTGTGTGTTCTCATGCTGTGCTCTCTCTGTTGCCAGTGTTCCATGCAAGATGTACAACTGCATCCCACTTCCTCGAAATCAAATCATCACTGCTCCTCCCCATTTCTTCCCCATCCCCACACGATGAGAACATTGCATGGTTTTCCCCTTTGGATGGGAAAGCCAGGGCAAACGTGGTCCTGTGGTCTTTTGCACTAACAGCACTTCAGCGGCAATTCACTCTTTCCAGGGAATTATTCTAGATTTATTCACCACAAAGCATCCAACCATAACAACTCAGTAATTTTAAGGCCTAAGGGAAAAAATGTAACAAGATGTTCAAAATTTTTGGTTTGGGATAATTGGGAGTTGTTTATATCCTTGTGCTGCTGATTTTGTTGTCCTATACCACCATTGCTAGCGTCCTCGGGAATAGGATTATCTTTGCTTGGAAACAAAGCCACTGCTTTAACCACTTAAATGCTGGCTAATGTGGATGATAAATGGGAGGAAAAAAATTGCTGTTACTGAATGTAAAGGCTGCACATAAAACGTGGTACCAGGGATGGAATATACAGCTGTACAGACAAATAAATAAAATGTATACTCATATAGGTTTTAGGAGAAAGATGTCGGGACATGGCTATTTTCATTTAGATCTTATAGGGCAGAGGGTCCCCCCAGCACAGCAGAATACAGCTCTTGCTCTCTCTGGGTTTGAAAACAACTTTCAGTGTATTCAGATTGTACCAGCCCATTGAAGTTATTTCTTGCTTGGGTTTTATACCCTCCTATTGCTTCTGTGTGAATATGGAATTTGCATAGCTGGCTTTTCCCTTTTATGGCGAAGAACAGCCAGGGCTACCCATGAAGTCCTTTGGATGCTTACTTGGATGGAAGTGCATCATGTAAGGTACAGGGCTTGACGGTACTGATCCTTTGCAGGATCCATGTTAGCAGCTGGGAAGGGCATCTCCTGCTGCTCCACTGGAAAGGGTTGTACCAAACAGGCTGAGCTGAATGCTCTTTCCACTACTTTGATGATTCAGAAGAATGTGAAACCAGTAGAAATTGCACTAGCGCTCATAAAACCCTTTTGGTATACGAAAGGTATCTTTTGTTTAAAAAAAAAATCTACTAAAAAAGGCATGTCAGTGATATGAACAGTATGTTTTAATGTCTTGTACCAACATCCAACACCTCTGAGGTTTTTAACAGCGATTTTCCTCTGATTTCATGGCAGCTGGGATGTGGAAGGCAGCACGCTAGATGCACTTTGTCAAGAGAAACATTGTCTGCATCCACAATTTTCATAACATCTAATTTAAAGTGCATCTTGAATTTTTTGGAAGAAAATTTCTCAGCAACTGTAGAGAAGAAAATGAGCTATTTCTTTAGTTTGAACCTGTGTGAATTAGTGGTGAAGTGTTGATGTCTAAGCATGCAGTTTCTGAACCATAAAAGTTGTTTATTTTGCCCTATAAAAGAACATTTGAACTTATATGGCTATTCAAGTTTAAAAGCTATCATAGAAATGGGTGGGGAGAAAAGAAGAGGTTTAAATCGGTAATCCAAGCTTGTAATACAATCTTCATTTGGTGCATAGCTTGCATAGAAATCTCCTTCAATGTGGGTTTTCTCTGCTTGTAGCAGTCCCAACATACAGGAAACATACAGTATGTATTTCCAACATTTTCCATAATTGTAGTAAAGCTTATAAAGCAACCCATTCCTTGTGCACTCCTGGTGATCTGCTATACTCTTAAGTATGCATTTAAAGAAGGAAAAAAATAATAATCCAACAAGGGCTGGCAGAAGTAAGCATCTCCCCTCAAAGTTGGGGGGAGGATTTTATTAACATCCTCTGACTGCAGGAATAGCAACAGCTTTGAAACCTGGATGGCAAACTTACTGCTTATGTGGTTTTTGTTGTTTGTTTTTAAATATTGGAATTTGACATGGTTTTGTTTGTTACTTTTCCCCTACAGATTAAAAGCACTGGGAGTGAAGTCAAGTTGAGGAAGAACCTCCTTGGGTGGGCAGAACAAAGTCGCAGTGCCCGTGGGAAGGCAGTGCCGAGTGATGAGGAGCTGTGCCAGGGCTGGAGAAAGCTTGAGTCCTGCTGCATCCCGAACGAAGCAGAGATGATGGGCTTGTGTGGCTTCAAGCATAAGGTCAGTGCTTGTCCTTCATCCTTGGATGGAGCGCAGGGAAGGAAGGCTTCTTGCACACGTGCTGTTTCCCCTGCCTGTACACATAGTTGGCCATATGCGGGCAGCAGCCTTGCTACAGCAGTCACCTTCAGTGAAAGGCAAGAGAGGTTTTGATTCCCTTTCTGCAAAATTGATAGAAATTTGTCAGTGTTTTGAGAGGCTGTGCTTCACTTGAGCCCTCACTATCCCTGAACTCACAGTACCTTGCTAAAAATAGTTCAAAGCACAACCATGAGTTCCCTGAACTGTGATCCTACCAGTTCTGCATTATTCGACTCACCATTCCTTTGAAAGTATTCATCCTTTCCCTCGTAAAACTTAAATCAGCTTGTTCCCTGGTCCAAGAGTTGACATCATAATGATGTTACATCCTATGTAATGGTGTGAGACCTGGAAAAGCGTTCACAGCAAAACCACTTGGTGAATTGAATTTACAGTGCCTCAGCCCTTGCTTGGAGCCTAACCTCCATCCCAGGCCAGGTTCACTTGTGCATCTAGAGCCCAGGCAGTCCCTCGGAAATAGCCCTTGTAATATGGCAGTGTGCTGCTGAGGAGCCATCAGAGCTCTTCTTAACATCCCCGTTTTTCTTTCTGTGACCTAATTTCTTTTAAAACGTTTGTGAGAACAAAAGTAACTGGTTTACCAAATTAAGTCAGTTTTCTTGCCAGGAACAGTGGCTAGGATCTTGTTGACAGATTTGGAAAAGATTATTCTTTCAATATATTTTGAATGAATTTTTAAGGATGTCTGCCATATACTGTTTCCAAGCTCAGTCTGCATTTAACTGTTCAGTATTACACAGTGACAGGGACAGATTAGCACCTTTCATTTGCCTATGAAAATTAACACATCCTAAGACAGCATTTCCTGAGCTACAGATCTCCTATTTAGAAACAAATGTAGCTATGTTGAATTAAAAATCTTGGCCTGAATAAGGTTGATGAGGTTTTTTTTATTGATTCCAGAGGCCTTCAAATTTTACCCTTTTTCCTTATGTGTGTTTAGAGTTACCTTTTTTCTCGTTTGTCTTTTATATGATGATTTTTCGTTTCTGATGGAATGGTCTCCTCACAGCCTGCTCTGAACCCCACGTCTCATTTCTTTGCTCCAGGGCTTCCTCAGGGCCATGAAAGGTGTTTTTTTTTCTCCTCCTTTCATGCATAACGTGGCCTCTGGGTTTGTTTGTTCTTCTGTCTTCCTCTGAAGCATCAGGAATTGGCCTCAGCTGGAAATGGGCTGTTGGATGGGTACACAGATGCTTTTGGTGGTAGTGAGAAACTTCTCGGGCTCCTGGCTGGTGTGTATTGCCCCTGGTCACATAGGCAGGGATCACTGCAATTTGCTTTTTGTTGTGCTTCTGTCTAGTGAAGGAGAGAGCTCCGGTGTGGTATTCATGGCTTTTGGTCTTCTGTGCTAAAAGTCTGAAGCTTGCGGAAGGGCAGTGGAAGTTCCTGGATGACTCGTGGTGAGGTGGGTGCTGGAGTTGAACTTCTGACTTTAGCTCTGTGATTGCTGCGATGGCACAGGCACTGTGCTCCAGCTGGTCACTCCAACTATGTGTGTTGTGGTACTGTTAGCTGTGGTGCTGTACAGGGCTGGTATAGCTGAGATGTGAAATGAGTCTTTTGACTGTGCTCATTGAAGCTGCTGTGCAGCAGACGAGCATGAGGAGCAGTGTTCTCTCTCCCAGTTTTAGTTGATGCACATACATCAGGTTAGCAGAAGGGAGCATAAGAATCCAAGTCAGTGTGTCTCTGTGTTGCAGTTTTCTGTCTGAGAGTATTAAGGTCAGGTTCTCATTTATGCTAAGCCCACTTGCAATGTTCTGGCAACATAAAGATGCCTTAACAAGAATGTAAATTAAAGCCTCCTTATACTTTTAATAGTGTTTGTAGTTTCACTTGGCTGCAGTACAGGAATGACACATGTCTACACAAACTACATTTGCCATCCATTCAAGATGGTTGCTGATATTCTTCATGCCCCCTAACTAGTTCAACCACCAGTCTGCTGTAGTCCCAGCTTCCAACCTCCTTAACATAAGCCCTTTACTTAGGATAAAAGTAATTTTTTCACCCTTTTTTTCCACCGTATATGACCTTATATTTGCCCACGTAAACATATACTGAGTGCCCAGTTCCAAAATGCCCAGCCAGAATCCACTTACCATATATGTTGCTTGAACAGGAGAGGAAGGTCTTCCGTCTCAGTATGGCTTGTACAGTGCAGGGCACCCTTTTATTTTTCTAATAAGAAAATCTCTTGGGAGAAAGCCTATGTTCTGAGCTCCAGGAGCAAGATTTTATATTAAACCATCCCAGTTTTTACACTTCAAGGTCCATTTTCATTTCTGGCTATTAAAGTAACGTGTACCAATGGGAAGTATTATGCTGGCTAACCTTACAGGGGTGCAGTGGGAATGAAGAACATTGAAAATCCCAGCAATGAGGGACTTGATAGAGAAGCCGCATGTGAACTACTTCTGAAAAATGTCAATATCAGCATGCACTTAATATATTTCAGAGAAAATGCTGCTTTTGTACTGTCTAAAAGCATTTATAAACATTTTATTAGTTTCATGGTTGTATTCTGACTGTAAGTTACCACATGTCTAACAGTGCAGGGCTCAGAAGGGCTATAAAAAAAGCCTCCAGAAGAGTCCAAAAATGGGTTTTTGTTGTTCAGACTTTTTTGTTTTTAAGATAAATGTATAGTGAGTGATGACTTCAAAGTGCACAGCCTTGAGATTGCCATAGAAAATATGTAATGCTGTTATCCCCTGCAGAAATCTAAAGCTCTCCAGGGTTTAGACTTCCCATTCCTTCCTTTTCAAGGTCATGAGAACTTAGTTTAAAACCTGTTTGTGGTCTAGGACTGACTATTAGCTTGTCAGAGTCTCCATCCTTATCAATTTTAGAGAGAGAAAATTAAACATGGAGAGAATAGAAATGGCAGCGTTTGGAACTGCTAGGGAGACTGGGAACTTAAAATAACTTATGTAGGGGAAAAAGCTTACAGATCACAGTGCAGGTGAAATGGCCTTATGAAATGAAGATATTTAAGATATTTTGTTATTTTCTAAGAGGACTCTCAGAAACTAGCTGAATAGCATCTCCACATATAATAATGTTGCGGCAAACCTTCAGAGAGCAGAATATGTGGTGCAACAGAATTTCTGCAGAAATACGTAGAGGAAATATGCTCAGGATATCTCCTCTGTGTTGTGAAGTGTCTGCTTCTTCCCATAGGTGGTGCACATCTTCACTGCCGTGCTCCCTATCCAGATCAGTTTTTCTCTGCAATTCTGCCTCCCAATCTCATCTGAAAGTCCATATTTCTGCACTTCCTGATTAATTATTCATCCTGTGTTGGTAGGTGACTCTGGAGGAATCTTCTGAGTGACCGATAAGATAAAGTTATGCTTTTTGGGCACCGCATGCATGAAGCACACTGCGGGGCTGTTAGAATCGAATCTGTCCAGTTCTGCCACCGAAGCTCAGCTGCCACAGGCAGTTTACTTATCACACTGCATCGCTATTTGCTGAAGGATAAAATATTCCCAAACCAAACAAACTCGTAACTCAAGAAGAAAGAAGGCCTCCGCAAAGAGTCCCTGGCCCTCTGTGTGCTGGAGGGCAGGGAGCTCCGCAGAGGCCTCGGTCCTCTCAGATTGAGGCCTTTCCCGTTAGTCCATTGCTTATTGTGGTCTGGCAGTGCCCGGCCGCTGAGCGCGAAGCTGATGACAGGGGAGATGATAGAGTGTCTGCTGAAGCTGTACGTGGCTGCGGGTCACTGCCTCAAAATGTGAAAACAAAATGGGGCCGAGTGTTAATGACTTTCAGGTGTGCGCGCCAGGGCCTGTCAGGGCAGTCAAGGAATTAGTGCTTGGCACAAGGAGCAGACCTCTTGGCTGCCAAGTTAAACATAAGTGGGGCCTCATGTAAATAAACAAGGGCAAAGTGAGCTTTAACTTGCGATGGATTGTATATCAATCTCGTGCACACGCATGGAACCCATTGCATGCATGCACATGCGTCCCCTTTCCTAGGGCAGTGAGGAAGGACTGAGTTTGGCCGGGAGGCAGGGTGAGGTGGGTGCCCCAGCACCGTTGGTCATTTCCACGCAAGGGGACAAGGCCCTGCCTTCCTGGAGGCTGCTAAACCTGCTCTTTCCTTTGTTTCCTCCCATGCAGATGGCCAAGTGCCTACTGGCTGGGGATCACCTTGGTTTGTACCTTGAAAATATCCTCTGTGGTCTCTCGGGGATTCCCTTCTCAGCCCGCCACCTCTCCCTTTACATTAGCAGCCCTCTCAGGTGCACACAGAGATTAAATGTCTGCTTTGGCCTGGATTATGTTTTCCAGGCCGATATATTATGCCACCTCCACACTCCCCTCCCTGCCCCATCTGGCTTCCATCCTGCCCCCATAAAGATTATTAATATAGCCTGTTTGCAAGCGATTTATTAGCAGGGGCCAAAGTGGTGCCATTTCCCATTTCAGCAGAGCACCGAAAATAATCCTGAGGAGTGTGCCCAGCTATAAAATTGTACTTATGCTGTCATATTTGCAGTTTCAAACATACACCACTTGATAGTCTCAAAAGTGCTGTTTAATTGGCTTTTATGGATTCTAATTAATTATGCCATGTAAAAAAAAAAATTGCTTGTCCCAATACAGCTCTCTGTGGTTTTACTCTCAAGAGCAATGTAATTTAGAGATGAATTGTCCTTCTGTATCCCCCTGACCCCCTTTTCCCAGCAAGTTTTGGGAAGTTTTAATTCTCTTTAAACACAAGATAGAGAAACAGAGAAAGCTATGTTTCATTCAGGGGATGCAACTTTTTTCCCAGTAACTATAAGCAGCTTGAAATGTGACTTGAAATGCTTCCATGTTCCTTCTGCTGAGTCAGGCTGGTGAAATTATGAATAATCTCACAGCTTTCCAAAGCTCAGAGCTGTGGTGGCTATGATTTTGCAAAGACTTGCACGTTTGCAGCATAGTGTGCTGCAGACAATTTCCCCCAGTTACACTGAAGTGACAGTAAATGAAGCTGAGCATGTGTACATCTTTTTCACTGGATGGAAATCTAGTTTGAGGCTTGAAGAGAAACCATTTGAGCTACCTCTCCCTTCACAATACTGTGTGAAAACAGTGTGTTAAACCATCAGAGGCCTTGATGGCATTTGGATGGGACTAAAAGCCCAGGAAAGCTCTCAAGTTGACTTTCTATCCTATCTTGCAGAATCACAATGTCTGGATTATTCAAACAAATTCTGGAGCAGTCTTCTGACTTTTAAATGCTTCCTGGAATGACTTTGTGAAAAATGAGCAGCCAAGCAGGTATACTCATGGTTGTTTAAAATATACTCTTATGATTCATCCATCACTGTAATAAATTGGGTCTCAAAGCATGAAATATAGTAGAGCTGAAGTAGAAAAACATTCTATCTTATGGTCTGTGACTGTATCTGGAAATCAAGGAGTCAGAATATTAATTAATGGGAAAAGACAAAGGAAAGAAGTCTCTTTAATCTGCCTTCCATAGACAAAATGTACTTATTTCAGAAATGTTACATTGCACTTCAAATAATGTAAAGCTTTTCATGTGATGGATATCTCCAAAACAACACTACCTGGCATTAGGAGGGAAACTTGGTGAAACATCCCAGGTCACTGGTATTACTCCTAGCCCCAGAAGGATACGATTCTGAATGAGACTGCATAGATGAGTGATCCCTGGATCAAAAAGTTCATTAGTCATGCTTCACTGATTTGCTTATTTTATAAAATAAATAACCAGCATGTCAGTTGCTGGAAACTTGGACCATCCTGGGTGTGCAGATGAGTCTGCTTCATGCTCTGGAGCAAGAGCAATAAGAGCTGCCAGAAAATAAAAGCTACCACAGTCACACACATTATTCATCAATCTTAAAAGTACCAAGATTAATGCTAAGGACTGTGTTTTTATAAAATAATCCTCCACTGCAGTAAAAATTAATTAAAAAAGAAATTATGGTGTGTAGCTAGCTAGTTAGGTTAATGATTGCTAAAATCTGCAAAGTTTTTGTGGGATAGGTTAGCAAAACAGCATCCAAACCCAAGTAAATCTGAGTATTTCCATGCAGCATTTGGATAAGCCCGAACACACCTGAATATGTTGGTGTTTGTCTGGTGTTTATGTTTGCTTTTCCATTGCTTTTACTGCCTTAGAAAGCCATTTGTGGAGAGGAAGCAATGTGAAATCTGCTATTCTCATGCGATTTTCATCTTCCAGAGATTTAAATAAGTGGGATCTGCTCTTTTCATGCTATTCTGTCCCCATAAATTACTCCTGGAGGCATTAAAAGGGCCTGTGAAAAACAAAGCAATAAATATCCAGAGCTCAAAATACGAATGTTGCAAACTGCTCACACTGCTGTGGCAGCAGCTCTGTTATTAATTTGAGTACAGCTGATGAGAGCCCTCGATGCCGGTTTTAGCACTGCTGCACGCGGAGCCTCACTTTGCACTGCTGAAACTGATGCTGACAGCCCCACGGGAAGCTTTGGGGCCACCTGGGAGCTGACAGTTACTCTGGTTATTCAGTAGAGGCAGGGGCATGAGTGAAAGAGAGATTAAGGATTGTTATCTGTCTGCACAGGGATGGATGGTGGAGCTGGTGCCACCTGCATGCTGTCACTCCGGGCAGTGAGTGAGGGCTTGAGCAACAGGGCTGCTCTGCCAGTGCCTTTCCCTTGACACATCCCAGACCACAAACATGGCCTCTACATCTGAGGGAGAGAAGCAGCAGGGGCAGGCGTGAGTCATGGGCCTCATGACAGGGGAATTCCTCTCTGGTTGCTGGCAGCAACGTTGGGACTGAGCGGTTTTTGCTGCCCGACTGTTATGGAAAGAGCTGCCCTCAGCTGAATGCTTAATTCTAGTTTCTCATCTCCCTTCAAAATAGAAGATCCCGATGTATGGATTTTTGACCATATGGTTCTCTTCCCATTCCCTCAGTAAACGAGGAGAGTCCCAGTTCACAGCAAGCCCCACAGTGAGCTTTCAAGTCACCTGCATGAAGTTGGTGCTGTGCTCTGCACGTCCCCTTGATAAGGAAACACAAAAGCACAAACTATCAACCAGCAAAACGGCTCAACTTCCCATCTTTTGGTCACAGGTAACGCCTGGTGAGTCCAAACCCTGGCATCACCTCCTGAAAGCACACTGGGTCTGCCCACAAGTGCAGTTCCCTGTACTCTGAGCACAGCTCAGTGTGCAGCACAGCTCTGCACACTGCAGTCACTGCATGCAGGTGCTTCCTGTGGTTGCAGCTTCATCTTGGCTCCTTGAAAAAGAAGGGGTTTGGGGCCTTTTTCACAAGTGTATGAAAGTGCAGGAGAACAGGGCTCCCCTCGTTGCTCTGCTGTGCCTGAGTGGAAGGCAGTAAAAGTGTCTGGGAAAAAATGGATAGTTCTACTGAAGGCTGTTTTGGTGTCGCTGCATTGAAAATAACCCACAGCACAAGTTTAACTCAGTTTGTTATTATGTGTTTTATATTCGAGTACAGTGGTATTTTAGAAATGGCCACAGAAGTAGCTGTACCTATGACTAAGGTTGCTTGAAACTTTCCAGGCTTCTTTACTTCCTTGTAACTGTCAAACTGTAAAGACACACTGAAATTTCTCATGTTGGTATCAGCTCTGGTTAATTTATGTACAATAACTTAAATCCAACATCAGTAACATTTCAAGGGAAATTTGAAAGTTGGAGGCATGGAAGGAATAGGTGTTCTCTCAGTTCAGAACAGAATAAAGTTATGAAATAAATGAATTTCCTGCACACTGGAAATTCGGAGTGTTGCCTCTATGTATTGCTTCAGCACAGAAATTTGCAGAATTACTGCGGGCCTGAGCTAAGCACTTCTATCCCTGAGAAGGAAAAGACACGGGCAAAATGCTGAACTGGAACCTGTAGGCAGGTTGCGACTCTCATTTCAGCTTGAAAACTTTAATACTTTGGATTTAGTATTCCATGATAGGGCAGATATTTTATTTCTCAAACCTTTTTCAGTTTTTGGAAAATATCAGCTGATACAAATCAGGAACAAGAGTATATATAAACTTACATTATTTCATTTATATAATAATGTTTATACATATGTATTATATGTATGGTGTGCATATATGTATTTTACTATGTATGTTTATATGATGGAGACAATGTTCTCCTAGAAAAGCTGATTATTTAGGAAAGAATATTGGGAAATCATGGAATTAAGGTTCCCACGTAGTGTTTATTTGGCTTCCTTTTGTGCGTGCATTTCTCATAGTCCTTAATTACATGACCAGGTGCTATATTTAGTGCAGGTCTCTGCTCTCATTCCATGCAGAAGGTGGAGCTGGGCAGGACATGAGTCACGGCTGGGTAGAGAGGGAGGTTGATGTCTAAAGGGCTTTGCATGGTTTTGGTACAGGAGCTGTGGAGGAAGAGCAGTGCAAAGAAAATGGACAGTTTTCCTGGGCAAGGCCTCTGAGCAGTGTAAAACTCATGTGGTGTGAGAGAAGTTCATTTAAACTAAACTCTTCACAATTGACTCTTATTTTTCCTTTCTGTATTCCATTTGCAGAACACGTTAGCAGTATTTCTCATGACATGTAATGTAGTACATTAAGTGTTCTAAGAAATCAATTCACAGACATCTCAGTTTGGGTACCCAGTGCTAGCAGAATGTTTTGACCTGAATCTCTTTGCGTTTCAGTTTCCCATCTGTTAAGCAGGAGTAGTAACATCCTCTCATCTTAGGGGGTAGATTCAGAAGTTAATGTTTCTAAGCACTCATATGCCATATTGATAAGAGCTCTAGAAGAACTCATGAGAAATTAGCAGCTGTGTCTTCCAAGTAGGTTTTGAATACTATGCAGTAAATAAGACCTCAAGCCACATGCTGAATAATGATGCTATAACAAGATATTGAATATCTGCTTATTAAGTGAGCACTGTCCATCCTGAGGTAGAATCTAGGGGAAAATAAGACATGATGTTATCCGTAAAGAGTGAATCATAATGCAGATGTATACGGTTTTATGGTCAACTTTTGTTCTGATATTGCCTAACTTTCATTCTCTTGGTTTTATAAATGTATAAATGGTTCCTGTGCAAAAGGAAATCTGTGCCTGAAAAGAAAGAAAATCTGAGTTCCAAAGCGCTTGTTGTTTAATTAAATGTGCAGGATCTTAATTCTTATCTTTGTAGATGGAGTGCTTCGTAGTATCTGGTGGGTTTTGGAGAGGATGATGCATTGCAGCTTATACCATTTGGAAAGCAGTTCTCAAGGAAAGGTTAAATTGTGCCTTGCTGCTTCTCTTTTTGTTTGTTTTTTTAAAGACGGGAGAAGCTTTGTAGCTGGGAAAGGTGGTAGTGGAAATGGTTTTGAAATTCGTACACAGATTCTTGCGTGCATCTGGATGGGCTCCTGCAAAATTTGCATGAAATATTACAGCATGTTCTTGCATCAACACTTTTTCCTACAGCTTGTGGAAAAGGAAATTCCTAGGGTCTGTAGCAATCAAGTATATAGCTTTCGCAGAGCTAGACAAACTACTTGTTAAAGATAAAAGAATATTTTGACACAAGAACAAATGGATATTAATTGGCTATGAATACATTTGGGCTAGAAATTAATTAAAAAAAAAAAAAAAAAACTGGAACAGCAACACGATTCTTGAGTGTAAATAAATTCCAGTGGGAATAGATATGGACTTCTCTAGTTCCTTCACTTGGTGTGGTGTCTGATCAAAATAAACAGGAGGATTTCAGGTCTGAAGAGCTGCATCTGAAAACAGATTGGGTTTAAGAACTTAGGAAGTTTGTTTCTAGTACCATGCCTGCCATTCCCTCTTCCTAAAAACAGCCCCTGCAAGGTTAATATTTACTTTTCCCATTTCACACATGGAGAGTCTGACTCCTCGAAGGATGAAAGAATAAGTCCAATCTCCTCAACCTCATTAATGTGGACTCATTAGCAGATCAAGAATTCCAAAGGCATCTTTTCAAATGAAAGAGGTGTTTGTGCACCTCTACAAACCCTTTCTTGTTCTCTGAAGGACAGAGAGAGCATCTGTGGAACCAGAGTTGATAATCAAGCAGTCCTACGGTGCTGCTCGTACCCCCAGTGTTTATTCCTCTCTTTCTTATTCTTCACTATTTGCAACATAGGTCTGCCCTGGCTTTGCCAATGAAGAACACTTTGCAGACAAAAAGGACAATTCCAGGCTACTTTGCAAGTCACAGGGGACAAAACATAGCTGCCCCTGCACCCTGTCCTTTGTGAGTGATGTAAAGCATGTCTGATTGCT